CCTTTCCCTCATTAGCTCACAGACAACGATCAATAGTTTCATAACACACAGTGCTGGCAGAAGATGTGAGGATGCTCTAATAGTCATGAGAGAGGAAGTACAGGAAGTCACAGATTTTGAGGAAAAGAAAAGAGGTTCAGGTTCTGTGAGCACTTCAGAAATGCAGTACAAGCCTGTTAAAAGAGGATCTGTACTGCATATGTCAGTGAAAAAAAAAAAGAGCTGAAAACATCTCTTACATTCTCGTGTTTCATGTGTTTGAGGAGCCGCAGTTCTCTGTATGTGCGCTTGGCATGGATGATGGACTGGAACGGCCTGGACAGCTTCTTGACTGCGATCCTTAGGCCTGTCTTTGTGTCTAACGCGGGGCTGCGGAGAAAAAAAAAAAAAAACATGTTATGGATTCGATCAACACCGCAGAAGATTCACAAGCATTCCAAGGAAAAATTATACTGTAGGAACGTTTTGTTAAAGGAAACCTAGGAACATTCCTAAAAGGTTATGTTTGAAATGGTAAGATCATTGGAAATGGTATGTTTTCATACAGCAAACGTAAGAACAAGAATTCTCATATACTATTTTTTTTTATATGAAGTAGTTGGTTGTCAGGGCATTGGTATGAGGTTGCTAGGGCGTTCTGAGGATTTTTTTTTTGTCCATTTAACTGTCTAAAAGGTGCGAGTCCATAATAACTAATACCAGCGCTGACTACATTCAAATGCAAATCATTTTCTCACCCAGACTTCCCTTTGTAGATATAAATGTAGAAAAAAACTTTTTTTTATCAATATTGTGATTTCGATTTAAAACAAGATTTTGACAATATTTCCTTACACAAACACACTTTCATAAATGCGATGTTCTGCTTGCCCACATATCTGAAGTAGTTGCATTAGGGCTGCACAATTAATCGAATTTCTAATCGCAATTACAATTATGGATGCCAGAAGTACATAATCGTTCAAAGCGGCAATTAATCGGTCAAAGTCCACTTATGTTATTCTGCACGCTTATGATATGTTTTTTCTTTTTACATGTTATCTTAAGGGCTTTTCCATTGTTTTAGTTTTAGTATAACATTATAATACCATACATATTTTTTTACTTTTTTAGAATTTAAAGAAGAAACCAATCCGATGTATATTTGATATTTGAGGCTTAATACTATAGAAAAGCACTAAAGGTTTTTCAGTTCGAGTGTTTTCAGCTCGTTTATTTTCATATAAAAATACGGCATGCAGTTGCATCAAACAATGGTATAAACATCATTCAATGTAAATTGTGATAATCGTAATTAATAATCACAATTACAATTTCAAGTGAATAATCGACAATTATGATTTGTGTCATAATCGTGCAGCCCTAAGTTGCATAGTATTTCACATTTTAGACAGCAGTGAAATTTCACAATTCTTGATTCCAATTTCGATACCACAGCAAATACTAATATAAAGCTCACACATTATTAAACTGAAACCAGTTAGTAATAAAATAAGAACAACTAAACAAATTAGAAGTAATAACACAAATTAACAAATGAATAAAACAGTATTTCAGGTAGGTATAACAGTAGCATTTAGGTACAGAATATGAATAATCAAATGTAAAACAACATTGCATAGTCTTCACTGTATAAAATTAAATCTAATCCTTATTAAAGTTACAAAAGTTGTTCAGTCAAGTCTTTTGCGGTGTCTTCTGTGTGAAACGATACAGTCATCATTTACCATGGATTTACTGTAGTAACGCTAACTGCACCATGGTACTGTGGCAGAAATATGATATATTCTTATTGAATTTTACTATATTATTAATGTAGATGAATCAAATGTGTAATGTGAGGAATTAAAAGGAGTAATAGAATATAATTACAGTATTTTTTTTGATTACGCTTTTGTGCATTTATACTAAAAGTAGCCTATTTAGACTACTGTGTTTCATTCAAACCAAATAGAAATCATATAGTTATATTTTTACCATGGTATTGTGGTTTTAACCGTGGTTATCATGATCTAAAAGTATACTGCAATGGAAGACCAATGGTTAATTTTAATTAAACTCAAACAGTCAGACTAATTAAATTACAATGCATAAAAATGAGGTCGTTACAGTATTTACAGATGCTAGCCTACTGTTTTTGATAATGAACATAAACTTACATCTGCATCCTAACTCAAGCTACTGTCAAATGTGCATTTCTAAGAGCCAAAAAAGTAATATTATTAATTTTGCAAACTGTGCTGAAGATACGCGTCACAGACAAGCAACACAAACCTGTTTCTTGATTTGATATCAACAACATCACTCATTAGAACATGCAGAAACTAAGAAATACATTTTTCTACTAATATATTTATTTTGTTAAGGAAAAATGACTGGAAAAGTATAAAGAATTCAAAAGCGTGATGTGTTTGTCATGTTCAGACCGTAAAGAGTAGTTTAAAACCACAATTAATGGTGTGGTTTCTACAACTTTCACGTAAGAGCAAAAACCTGCCTTTAAACTTGAAAGAAATAAAGATTTGACATTTATCGTGATAATTAATGATATCGACAGATATGAAACATTTTTATCGTGATCATTTTTTTGGCCATATCGCCCAGCCCTAGGTTATGGTTAATGCATTTACATGCTTATATAATCAGAAAGTGACCATATTCTGATGTGAGCGCTCAGTGAAGAGCGTGAAATGATAATCAATGTAGCCAATCACAGACATATCTTTTGAGCGCGTGAACACAATGGCCAATCAGAGGTGTTTAAGAATCTGCTCAACAGAGCTCAAAATGCTAGCAGGAAATGCTGGTATCGTCACATTTTTAAAATTTTAGTACTGACTGGTATTAAAGTCGGTACTGTTGACAACCCTATTCTGATTAATATAGGAATATTCTTGCACAAAA